GGCTATGTTGATATGTGGTTTCCTGTTTTTGAAGAATTACAGCTTGAACTCAAAATATAAATAGTTCTCCTTGGGCAAGTGAGTTTTTCTGATCATTATGGGCTTGACAATGTCAGTATTCTTACTTAGTGTTCTGGACGTAGATTTGTGCCTCCCAGGGAAATATAGTACAGGCCTGTGTAGTGTGGCATTTAATGGCACTGGGGAGCCTTATCTTTCTGCTGGGGTACAGTGGCACACACCTATAATCCCAGCTACTTAGGAGGCAGAGGTAGGAGGATCACAAGTTTGAGGCCAGCCTGGAAACTTGGTGAGGCCCTGCCTCAAAATAAAATAAGAAACGCCTGGGGTGTCGCTCAGTTGGTAGCACTTGCTTAGCATGCCTGTGGCCCCAGGTTCAAACCCCAGTACGGAAAAAGGTCCTTGCCTTCCTACAAATTAAATAAAGGGCCTTACAAACTGGCTCTTTTAGCGCAGAAAATCTGTTATTCCATTTACATTGCTGCAAACAGAAGGGTATTCCCACCTCATCTAGCAAATATGCACAGCAGAGCAGTGGTGCTGGGATGCGCCGTGCACCAGGGCCTCCTGTGAGGCTTCTGAGAACGCAGCTGCGCCATGCCACCTGCGTTTCTGGTTCGGTAGGCAGGGTGGTAACACACCTGCGGGTGCTATCGCTGCTATTTCTGGAGCCACAAGCTTTCAGCACCGCTGCAGTATCGCAGAGGGGTCAGAAGCCTGGCTTCCGAGCTGGGCAGCTTGGGTTTAATCTTCAGTGCACCGCCTGCCAGCTGTCAGACCTTAGGCAGGTGACTTACGTTCTTGTCAAGAACTGGGAAGCCTGGGATTTCCCCTGCTTTGGAGCTGACGAGCTAACCTCCCGCTGTCCCGAGGACTTCTGGGCGGGAGGAGTGACTGTCATTCCTACCAGCTGCCGCCAGGGTATGGACAGCTTTTTACACCAGTTTTCTAAGTGCTTGGGCGGCTCCGTTTGCCAGGGCTGATGCGAGAGGAAGCCAGAGCTAGGGAATCGCCTCTTGTAATAGGTGGGCAGAAAGCACTCTGCTCTTTACTCCAGAGGGAGGCATTGCCTTCACTACGCCCGGAGCGCACTGCCCTTTGCTCTACAAGGACGCGCTCTCTCTTCTCCACAGTAATCTGGCGCACAGGCCTGCGCCTCTGTCCCTGAGCTCGCAGCAATGCTGCAGACTCGCAGAGAACTGCGCCCAGCCCTTCTCCCTGTGGTGGGGGCGCTGGGGGTGGCCAGGGCCCTGCATTCTCCTCGGCGCTCCAGCGCTCCTGCAGTCCTGTTTCCCCTTATGAAATGGGTGAGCCATAGCGCAGCACCTCCCTTTCTGAGGTCTTGGGTAGACGAAAGGTTTTACCTTAGAGCAAAGTAGAAGTGCTACGTAAGAGTTTTCTGTTATTGTGTCCTGTGATGGCGCACGCCTGTAATCCCAGCGTTTGAGGGGCTGAGGCAGGAGGATTGCAGCGAGGTCGAGACTAGTGTAGGCTACCTAGTGAGTTCAAGGCCAGCCTGGACTGCGTAGTGAGACCCAGTCTCAAAACACAAGCAAACAGCCGGCATACTGGCGCACGCCTGTAATCCCAGCACTCAGGAGGCTGAGGCAGGAGGATCATTGTAAGTTTGAGACCAGCCTGGGTCACAAAGCGAGCTCAAGGCCAGCCTGAACTGCAGAGCGAGACCCTGTCTCAAAAAAGACAAAAAACAAAACAGAACAAAACATAACCAAAAAACAAGCAAACAAAACCAACAAGTTTGCTGCCACTATTCCTGAAGGAGGAGATTGTGTTGTTTGTCTCTTTTTAATGGTAAATAGCACCTAAGAAAGAAGTAATTGCCTTACCTTCAGTAAGTTTCAGACTTCTGTTATTTTTCTCCAGCAGTTTCTCTAATGGTTCCTAATTTTAAGATGGGCTAAGGCGTTGTATGATCTTTTACCGGCCCACGGTGGAGGCAGGGAGGTTTCCGCCTGTGTTCATGTGGAGCTTGTGGTCCTCAGCCGGATTATCCTTCCGCGGAACTTTGTGACTAATCCTGTCCAGAGGAATGCGGAGTAATGAACGTGCCCCTTCACTCCTGATGCATCTTACTGGTGTTTCTTTCATTTCGTTTTGGAGACAGGGTCGTGCTTTGTTGCCCAGGCTCATCTTGAACTTGTGAGCTCTCTGGATCCTCCGCATAACCTCCCAAAGAGCGGGGACTGCAGGCTGTACCCAGCTGGACAGGAAAGTTTGGGGAGGATTTCGCTGGTGACAAAGAGGAGCAAATCCCAGGGGCACAGCCGCACCATCCTTCTCTTCTCTCTCCTTTTTCCTCTGGTGTGAAGGAAATGTCTGGTTACGGCTCCGTTTGCTTTGTTCCTGTGGATGACGACGCAGACAGGGCAGAGAGAGCCGGAGCTCCTGCTGCTGTCACTGAGTGACTAGCAGGCCGGGACCACGCTGTTCCAGATCTGCTGCAGGAGGAACACGAATTTCTCTTAATTTATACAGCTGTTGCTTGAAGCCAAACACATTTCCAGCCCCACTGAATAGTGTGCTGGAATGACAGCAGGTGGCCAGAGAGGGTGCTGAGGGCACAGGGCATCTCGACACCAGCTTCAGGATCCGGGAGGCCCCTCAGAATGAGCCAGGGGCGTGAGGCGTGTCCTCCGGCTGAGGTGTGCGTGGACAGCTGCCCTCACAGCGGGGCCGGGTACCACAGTGGGTTCTGCACTGTGGGCCCTGCACCGGGGAGCTGGGGCGACTGCAGGGCTCTGTGGGCCGGAGGCCTGGAGCGTGGGGCTGGCAGGAGTGGCTGACCTGTGACTCGGTCCCTTACCAGGACGCCACCGTTCATTCTTGGAAGGTGTGTGCAGGTGCAAGGGGTGTCGAGATGACAGAAGCTGGCCGGCCCCAGGGCTCTGGACAGGAATTTTCATCCTGTTCTCCTTGGAGATGGTCACGGGGCGCTCCGGACCTTCCTAACACTGACCCGGCTGAGGCTTCCCTGTCTTGTGGTCTCCTGGAAGGGGGTTTGGTTGACCCAAAAGAAGCGGAGCAACCACTAGGACTGTGTAGCAGAGGGTCACCCTGAGCCAAGCGTGGTGCTGAACTTCCGTAAACCAGCGGCCGCCGCGGGAGCCCTGGCAGGAGAAGAGTGGTGTCGAGGCCTAGTGCTGGGCACACAGCAGCCTTGACCAGTGGACCAGGTGCCCCAGGGTGAGCCGGGGTTCTGGGAGCAGTTAGCCATTTTCCCAGCGCTCTTCTTTGTCCTGTGTCTTTCTCTTTGTGTGTGTAGGTGGAGCGAGTGTCCGTTTCAATACATACATAATCCTGTGTGTGTATATATATAAAATTATACCTATATATGTATTTTTTTTTTACCCCCTTGTTTTACCCTGTTTGAGGGAAAAAACAGTTCGATGCACCTGACATTTTGATTTCTGAGTAAATGTGGATTGCAGGGGGGTGGGAAGACAAGAGAAGGGTCCCTGGCTTCTTAGTGAAATATAACCCACATCATTATGTAATATGGATATTGCTGCTATAAATAATAAGAGTACAGGATGACCACGACGCCAGCTACGTGGGAGGCTGAGGCAGGAGGATTGCAAGTTGCATGCAGGCTGGGCAGCTTAGCAAGACCCTGTCTCAAAATAAAAAATAAAAAGGGCTGGGATGCAGCTGAGTGGTAGAGAACCCCTGAGTCTGACCCCTGCACTGCGGCAGGGGAAGCAGCTGTGAACTCGGTATTCAGCTGGGTGATACGCTGCGCTGTTCTCGGGGTCAGGTGGGCAGCTCTTTCGTGGATGAGGTGCAGAGGCCAATGAGGCTGACTCTGTCCAGGGAAACACGTGATCCTTGGCTTAATGGAGCCTGACTTTTTCCTGTTACGCAGCACCACGCTCTAAAGAGAGCCAAGGAAGGGGCGGGAGTGGCTGGGTGGTAGAGCTGTAGCCTGAAGAGCGAGGCAGTGCCCTGCCCCAGGGCTGGGGAGTGACCCCAGCCTCCTGCAGTTACGGGGTGTTCCACACCACTGCGCCACACCCCCAGCCCTCGCCTTCCCTTTTCCCAATCAGAAGGCTTGTGACTCCTGCCCCTGAGTTACTCTTGCCCATTTTTGCCTGTGTAATCTCATAAAATTAACATAAAAATGTGGCCGGGAGCGGTGGTGCGTGTCTATCATCCCAGCACTCTGCGAGGCCAAGGCAAGATCGCAAGTTCTTACCCAGACAGGTGACTTCAGTCCCTGTCTCAAAAAAAAAAAACTAGGGGCTGGGGATTTAGCTCAGCGGCAAAAGCGCCTGCCTGGCATGCGCAAGGTCGTGAGTTCGGTTCCCGGTACCGGAGAAAAAAACAAAAAAAAGAAAAAAAAAAACTAAAGACAAGGCTGGGGGTGCAGCTCAGTGCGAAGGCCCTGGCTTCACTCCCCGGTACTGCAGTAAATAAATAAATAAGTAGATAAGTTAGTTAATTAGAAATACACGTCTATATAGAGAAAGAGGTCAGAAGGACCTTCTGAGCAGTGCTGATAGGCCAGCACTGCCCTGTACAGAACACTTTAAAACCTCCTAAACAGACATGTAGGTTGCAAGAGAAGATTTGTAGTGAAAGTGCCTTTGCCTGCCCCTGCCCTTCCTCTCCGGGCTGTGGTTGCTGCACGCGGCGGGTGTGTGGTGTTACACATAAACACGCAGCATTTTCTTGGCCAACAAACCGGTTCCCAGGGTACACGGAGTTCAGATCTTGCTGAGATCAGTCTGATGTTTTCTCCGGCGTTCGGTTAGCGCTTGTTACGCGGCGCTACGGTAACTGATGAGTGGTTTCTGCTCTGCGTTAGGCTAGCAGTTTCTGTGCGGCACCTGCCTCCGTGTGCGTGTGTGAGCGTGTGTTTTGAGGTGTGGGCTCTTGAAGGAACCGCTTGCATCTCCTCAGCGCCTTTCCTGGTTTTCGCTTTTTCCTTTTCTGTGGTTCTGGAGACCGCTACGTTTCTGTCTTGGTGGTGCGTTAGCCTCGAGACTGCTGACCTCTGTAGACCTCCACTCGCCCTCGCCCCTGCCTGAGCTGCATGCTGCCACGCCGCGTGGAGACCACATCCGCCCCTGCACCGCCTTCCAGAGCTCTCACAAGGTCTTGCTGTGAGTTGAGACCCGGCCACCTGGTGTGGGATCTTCTGCCTGCGTGGGGATGACTGTACCTTCCAGCCGTGCTAGCGCGAGAGCGGGCGGGTCCCTGCGGTCTCCTTCCTTTCCAGCCCCTCCCATGCATCTGCAAGCCTTGGTCCCCCTGAGCGAGTGTCCCGCCTGCTTCTGCAGTACCTGTCTTCCGGCCTGCGTGGCGGGCTGCTGAGGGGCTGCCAGCTCCCATCAAGCACCGCAGAAGCAGCAGCGCCTGCCTCCGTCCCGCTGCACTTTGTACTGCTGCTTGCTCTCTGGAGCACCTTGGCACAGCCTCGTCTGTGCAGTTTGCCCGGGGCCTCTGCGTCCGTGCTCCCCGCGTGGCGTGTGTGGGGTTCTCTCAGGAGCAGCGAGCCGGTTGTCTTCACTCTTGGACCTGGCACCTGCAGAAGTGTTTGACCTGGCACCTGTGAGAAGTGTTAGGAGGAATAATGGTGACAGAGCGCTGGGCTCTTGCTGATCACCTGCAGTTTGCCAGAAAGTGAGAGCGGTGTGGGAGGAAGAGGAGGGAGGAAGTTCTGGGTGAGTAGGAAAAGAGAGACCAGGCTGGGGCACGCGGCAGGGCGTTGGGGCTGGCCTCACGGCCCCGGAGGGAGATGACCTGCAGGACTTGGGACGCTTGCCTAGGGACACTACCACTGCTTGGATGAAGGACATTAAAACATGTCTGACCCTGAAAAAATCAGAGCGTTGTTAGTGTGAGTTTAATGAGAAGATTGGTTTTTATTAGTTTTTTTTTTTTTTTTTTTTTTTGGTACTGAGAATCGAACTCAGGACCTTGCGCTTGCCAGGAAGGCACTTGTGCCACTGAACTATATCCCCGGCCCTATTTATTTTGTTTATTTATTTTTGGTCTTTTTGAGACGGCATCTCACTATGCAGTTCAAGCTGGCCTTGAGCTCACTTTGGAGCCCAGGCTGTTCTGGAACTCGCAAGGATCCTCCTGCCTCAGCCTCCCGAGTGCTGGGATTACAGGTGTGCGCCACCACGCCTGGCCCTATTTCTTTTAAATAATAAATAAAGTATTATTTTTTTGAGACAGAATCTGCTTATGTAGTTTAGGTAGTCCTTGAACTCACTGTGTATAGCCCAGGCTGGCCTTAAATTCATGAGAGACCCTGCCTCAGCCTCCTGAGTGCTGGGATTACAGGCCTGAGCCACCCCGCCACCCCCCTCCCATCCCTGGCTCTAAGGGGAATATTTGTGACATCCCATTGCAGTCCATTGGGAAAAGAGATAAAGTGACAAATCACATCTGATAGTGGGGAACATTGTAGTTTAGCAAGTGGGTAATTTAAAGTTCTTGGAGAGGGAGATAAAAGACCTTATCAGGACCTAACACAGTGTTTCGACCTTTGCCACAATTGCAGCTTTGCTCTCTACCGGCAGCAGGCAATTTAAAAGCGTTAAGAGTTCAGGTAGTGTCGGAGATCCCAGACTGTTGCCTTTAGTATCAAATAGCTTGATACATCTGTGTGAGGAAAACTGGGCATGTGTCTTGCCTGGAGCATGTTAGAGGTGAAAAAAAACTACACGAACTAAGTGAAGCAAGTTGTGGTCAGAGCAACTTTGCCGGGGAGGGCCTGGGGATTTAGCTCAGCTGCACAGCGCCTGCCTGGCAAGTGCAAGGTCTTGAGTTCGATTCCCAGTACCGGAAAAAAACCAAAAACTAAAAACAAAGCAAAACAACTTCGCTGGGGAGCCCGGGGCGACAGTGCAGCTAGTGTCCCTTGCAAAGGGAGAGTTGGACAGAAGCAGGTTCCTTTCTTCAGACTCCAATTTTTGAGGGAACACCCAAGAGTTTTGTCTGCTTGGGATTAAGCACATTTTAGGAGGAGGTAGGGTCTCAAGGCGGTTCCTAGCCTGCGCCTTGCTTGTGGAGAGCTGTACCCTGGCCCCGCCTCTGCCTTCTCTGGCTCAGCCTGTGTCCCCCTCTCCTGTTACCTTCTGTAGGGCGCTCCCCCGCTGCCCCGCGGCACACTGTAAAACAGAGCGACATGTGCACCAGGCCAGTGTATCTTGATATTCACAGAAATGTCATTTGTAAAAGGGGCTTAACATAGTCACTGGCACAAAGTAGACCCTAAGAAAGTGTTATTTTCTTTGCGCCTCCTAATAAACCTGTGCTCTTTCTTTCTTTCTTTCTTTTTTGGTCTTTTTTTGAGACAGGGTCTCCCTATGCAGTTCAGGCTGGCCTTGAGCTCACTTCGTAGCCCAGGTTGGTCTCGAACTCATGAGGATCCTCCTGCCTCAGCCTCCCGAGTGCTGGGATTATAGGCGTGCTCCACCACCCCCGGCTTTTCTTTCTTTTTTTTTCTTTGGTACTGGGAATCGAACTCACAACCTCACACTTGCCAGGTACGCGCTATGCCGCTGAGCTACATAGGGCTGTGCTCTTTCTGAAAGAGCTTTGAGAAGTGGTTTTGCTTGAAAAGTATGATGGCCTTTCGCACATGGTCCTGGATGAGTTTGTGAAACTCAGGAGTTGGGGAGAAACCACTTTCGAACTGGATGGGGACCTGGGAAGGCTCCCCACAGGCCGTGTGTCGGGTGGTCCCGGCTGGCATCACTGCGTCACAGGCTGCCTTTTCTCTTGCAGATGCGCACACCTGCGGCTCCGCACTGACTCGAGGCTATGGCTTTTCCTGGAAGACTCAGCAGCGGAGGCGGCAGGTAAGTGGGGAACACACGATTCGGTTCCGAGACGGGGCGATGCCGAGGCTCAGAACCAGCCTCTTCACAAAGCAGTTCAGTCATTTTCGTCTTTGCAACTGCAGATCTGTGCGGTCCAGGCTTCTGTCCCTTGAGTCCAGCCTTTAGCCTGGCTTTGTACGTGTGAGAGAGACAGTGCTCAGAATGGAGCCCAAGGTCTCCAGAATGCTAGGCACGTGCTGCACCGACTGAGCTACGCCCTTCAGTGCAAAACAACTCTTCAAGCCGGATGGTGGCGCATGCCTGTAATCTCAGCACCCAGGAGGCTGAGGCAGGAAGATCACTGTGAGTTAGGGGTGCATTGGAGTTCAGCCTGGACTGTAGTAAATTCAAAGCCAGGTTGGGCTACATAGCCTGTTTTTTAAAAAAAAGCACCAAAAGAATTAATATCATTGGTCAGTTTTTTTTTTTTAAGAGGTCTTACTAGTAGCCCAGGCTGGCTTCAAGCTCCTGGCAGTCCTCCTGCCTCAGCCTCCTAAGTGCTGGGATTACAGGTACACACCACCATGCCCGGCCATTGGTCAGTTTTTATTTGAGATAGTAGCATTGCAAAAACATTGAGGTACAAAAAAATGGAAACTCAGACTTGGTTTTTGTTGTTGTTGTTTTTTGTCTTTTTGAGACAAGATCTCACTATGCAGTTCAGGCTGGCCTTGAGCTCACTTTGTAGCCCAGGCTGGTCTCAAACTCGCAATCATCCTCCTGCCTGAGCCTCCTGAGTGCTGGGATTACAGGCGTGCGCCACCACACCCAGCTAGAAACTCAAACTTGTGTTTTGTTTTGTTGAAGAGGTAAAGATTTCACTGTTTGCCCAAGCTGGCCTTGACCTCCCAGGCGGAAGCCACCCTCAGCCTCCCAACCAGCTGGGCACACAGGCGCCGCTGCTCCTGGCCTCGGCTAGTATTTGTGGACTAGTAGATGGTGGTGCCCGTGAGTCCGGAGTGTCCCAGATGCCTTCTGCTTCTTTCCCTTTCTGGTGCCTGTAGGCGCTCCCTGGGCCTCCACTGGTGCTGGTGGGACAGCTGTTGTACGCTCAGCCCCTCCCCCGTGGCTCGCAGCCCCCTTCCGGGGGCCGGGTGGAAGCCCCGTGTCCATTCACGCCCTTTCTGGATGCCAGTGTGGAGGGTACTTAGACCGTCTCCCTCCGCCAAGGCTGTGAGATGACTGCGCGCGTTCCTGGCCGGCACACAGGAGATTGCACGTGATGCGCCGCCGTCAGAACTCGTGGGCTGTGGCGGTCTGGTCAGCACACAGGTCCGGCTGGCTGCTCTGCGCCTTCTGCAGGGATTCTCTGCTGCGTGTTAACGCGCCCTCTGCACTCCTACCTTCTCCTGAGAACGTGGAGGTTTGCAGCCCTCGGCCCGCAGCAGTGCTCAGCGGGACTAGGCCGGTTCCGAGCCTGTCTCTGCAGGGAGCCTGTTCCCTGTGCTGTGGTCCCTGCCCCCACCTGGCTTCTGCAGATGCTGCAACACTTTGCCCTAGAGACCTGAGGGTAAAACAATCTGGTGACAGCGTCTACTCAGCTGGAGTCACTGGGGCATCAGGGTGTGGCACCCTGCGCTCCTTAGGGCCTTGCAGTGGTTTTTTTTTCTTTGGTCTTTTTGAGACAGGGTCTCGCTATGGGGTTTAGGCTGGCCTTGAGCTCACTTTGTAGCCCAGGCTAGTCTTGAACTCACAAGGATCCTCCTGCCTCAGCCTCCCGAGTGCTAGGATCACAGGCGTGCGCCACCATGCCTGGCTTTTCAGTATTTTCATCCGCCTGTAATGCCATCTAAATGTACACAAGCTTTTGTATGAATGAAAAATTACCAGGAGAAACCAGGGAGCTGCTCTGTTTTTGAAGCAAGAGGCTAGATGGTTGTTTCTGTCTAGTATTTGTTAAATTATCTGTCTTGCCTGCATTGACTTAACTGTTCTTCTCCAGCCTGTCGTTGGAGTCTGTTTTGAGCCATCAGTTCGCCCCTCTGGGGTGTTTCATAGCTTTTTACTTAGGCATTGCCCTGTACTCGGGGGAGGGCATGAGGGGTCAAACCTAGAACTCCCTGGTAAGTGCTGCTGTACCGTCTACAGCTCTGACACTTTCTATATTATTTTGAGACAGGATTATGTTAAATTCCCTGGGCTAGGCTCAAACTCACAGTCCTCCTGCCTCAGCCTCCCAAGTACCTGTCGTAGGTGTGCGCTAACACACCTGGACTCAGACAGATTCTTTAATACTTTTCATGGGTATTCTTGTCTGATTATATTTCCAGTAGTTTCTGTAGTGCTTAGTCAGTTTTAGAAAAGTTACTGTTGGCTTGTGTCTGTGTGTCTGTGTGTCTGTGTGTGGTGCCGGGCCTGGAGCACTGGACCATGCTAGGCAAGCCCACTACCGCTGAGCTCTGTCCTGACACCCAGTTTTGGTAGTTTGCGTTTTTCTTTGGTACCGGAAATCAAACTCAGGACCTTGCGCTTGCCAGGCAGGCGCTGTGCAGCTGAACTGTATCCCTGGCATTTTTGGTAGTTTGATTGGGTCCCTTTGAGGTATTTTGATGAAGAAGCAACATAGTATTTTCGGATTTCCTTTCTGTGTGTGTTCAGCGTCAACTCCACGACCAAGTGGAAGATAAGGTGTATGTGGGGAAGGGTGGATGAACTCTGGAGATGTCCCTGTGTTTCAGACTGCTTCACCTTGGCTTAGTGTTTTTGCTTTTCCTGGAGTTCCTAATTCCTTATTTTTTGCCTTATTGATAAAGAACACACCTTTCTGCAGTTCAGTAACATTTAATTTTTTTTCCCTGCTGTATAAATTGCTTGAAATCCCACCTTTTTTCCTTGGAATTTTAAAATTAAAATTACTTTTTTCCAAAGCATGTGTTGAGTTATACTCTCCTGACTTGGGTCCAGGTTCCTGAAGCAGGAGTTAAACTGGGACACATGCTGGGAAACGCTCCCTGGATGACGTCGGGGATGCGCGTAACGTGACCTGAAAGGGCCTTTATTTAGGAAGCGCGGCCAGTTGACGGGCAGGGTTGACCTTCCTCTCCCGTGAAGAGTGGGCGCTTACACGCGCTTTCGAGGTGCCGGCGGCTTTTCGGCACCCTGCGGGCTGGATCCTGAAGCTGATCTGACTGTAACACTCGGCAAGTCTTTCCACAGGAGACTCCGAAACAATGTTTAACTCTCGTGATTGAGAAGCCGCTTCAGTGAGGGAGGGCGGGACAGGAGGGAAGCAGAACAGCACCTGTTATCTGGACAGATTTGTGAACGAGGCCTTCTCTGCAGGTGCTTGCTGAAGAGATTAATGTCTTCAGACAGTTTGCTTCAAGTGGCAGCATCAGCTTTAGAAACAGCAGAAAGTTAAAGAGATATAATTTCCGTGCCCTTCTAAGTATATAATTCGATTGTTTTTAGTGAGTGCTCTGACTCACGTGCCCTCACACCCCTGTCTCTGCCAGCAGAAGAGGCTACTTGCTCCGTTCGTCCGTTCCTACGCCATCTCCTCTTAGGGCTCTGCCGACTTCCTACAGTGTCTGTTCCGTGCACCTGGTCGTAGGAGGTGTGGGGCTGTGACCAGCCTCTTCATTCCGTGTGAGATTTTTCAAGATCCATCCATGTAACGTGGACGGATGTTTCTTTCCTTTTTGTAATATGCCAGTGAGTGGCCGTATCATTTTTTGTTTACTGTTCACCAGCCGGTGGGGATTTTGGTTATATCTGCTTTCTGCAGTGAATCATGCTGGACCTGTGCTTTTCTTTGGGGGGATGTTTATGTTTTTTATCTTTTTCAGACAGGGTCTCCCTTGAGCCTTGAGCCTTGAGCTCACTTTGTAGCCCAGGCTGATCTTGAACTCTCAAGGATCCTCTTGCCTCAGCCTCCTGAGTGCTGGGATTACAGGCATGCGCCACCATGCCTGGCTGGAGGGATGTTTATGGAAGAGTTGTGTCCTAGTTACTTTTCTCTCGCTGAGACAAAATACCTGACACCCAAAGTTAAAGGAGGAAAGGTTTATTTAGCTACAGTCTGTGAAGGTTTCAGTCCATAATCAGGTGGCTCCAAGGCAGGGTGGCATGGCAGAGGAGAAGCAGCTCATAGTGGCACAAGACAGCACAGCAATGTGAGAGAGAGAGAGAGGCCTCTTTCTGTCCGTTATGTTGTATCCAGTCTACCAGGCTGTCTACCAGGTGCCAGTCCAACCAGTGGACTGACCCAGCAGTCACCCACCCTGCATCCTGACACCCTTAGTCCCCGCATTGCACTACGAATCAATCACACTCTAGATTCAGCCGCATCTAAGAGTGCCAGAGGCTTTGGGGGATATCTAGACCTAAAGTATTAGTTTAGGGCGGCCCGTGGATCCCGGTAAGCTCACCGTCAGTCCCGGTGCCCGAGGCCTGTTTCAGACCCGTCTGCCTGTGTCCTCTCCGCCTGCACTGAGGCTGGCAGCTGGGGACCCTGAGTTCCTGTGGGCCCTGTTCTGGTGGTGGTTGGTGGTGCTGTGTCATTTCAGCGGCTGCCTCGGTCCAGGGGCTGCAGCGGGTGAGATGACCTTGAGCGAATTGTGCAGGGCTGCTCCTCTTTGCCGAGTTCTGATTTTCCAACCCATGGAGGTGTCCGTCTTCAGCCCTTTTCCTCCCAGGCCGGCGCGGTCAGCCTCCTGTGGAGTTTGTGGGACAGCCTTCGGGAGAAGGGCCTTTCAGTTCTCGTTCCCCGTTCTTCACAAGTCTGGCAGACGTGATTTCAAACCTTGTGTTTTATTTCTCTAGCTCCCAATAAAGAGCCCTATAAAGTAGCCAAGCAAGTAGCTTCAGGCTTTTAGAAGCAGAGACCTGGAGAACCTCATCACTGAGTGTGTGGATTGTACTGCAGGGAATGCCGTGTGATCAGTCTGGTTGGGGAAGACTTTGAATTCAGGGTTTTTTTTGTCTTCTTAAGACAGGGTCTTACTAGGAGTTCATGCTGGCCTTGAGCTCACTTTGGA